AAAGTTTTTTTTTTTTTTTTTCAAAAACAAGCAGTGAGCAGGTTTTGACCCAAGAGCCACTGTTTGCTGACCTCTGACATGTTAGAATAACATGTCTTGGCATGGAAAAAAGTTCAGAACATACTGTTGATTGTGAACAGCAAGTTGCAGAAAAAACACAGTATAATTCTACTTAGGTAAAAATTTTTAAAAATTAAAAAACTCATGTGCATTCATATTACAGGAAGTCCCCAGTGTACTATAGGGGAAAGCTGTGGGTGGTATCTCTGGGCCCTTTGTGTCTCTCTTACAGCTACATCTGGCAGCACATTGAGATCGGCTATGTCCAGGGCATGTGTGACCTTCTGGCCCCACTGCTGGTCATCCTAGATGATGGTGAGTATGTCCTCCTTGTCCCAGGTCTGGGAGGACATTTTCCTTCCTGTTGTGGGGCTGAGAGGTTAACCTCACTTTGTGACTCCATGCTACACATTGGGACAAAAGCTCAGAAAATCTCCCTGGTGAGCACATCAGGATCCTGTTGTTGTTGTTGTTAGGTGCTATTGAGTTGGTTTCAACTTACAGCCACCCTATGTATAACAGAACGAAACACTCACTGCCCAGTCTGTGCCATCCTCACAATTGTTGCCATAAGGATACTGGCATAAGGATAGAAAAATAAATCAAATTGAATTGGGAGTCCAGAAATAAACCTTTACATTTCTGATCAATTGATTTTTGACAAAATTTGCAAGACAATTTTTTTCAACAAAAGATGTTGAAACAACTAAATATCCACATGCAAAAAATGAAGCTGGATCCCTACCTCACACCATACACAAAAATTAACTCAAAATGAATCATAGACCTAAATGTAAGACCTGAAACTCTTGGGTTATAGTTGTTAGGTCCTGTCAAGTTGTTTTTGACTCCTAGTAACCTCATGACTAGGAACCTCAGACTAGGAAGAAGGAAGAGGCCGTCCACTTCTGAAAGAATTGGCCAGGGAAAACCTTATGAATAGCAAAGAAACACTGTTTGGTACATTACCG